GGAAACAGGAGTTTACAGGCTGAAAATACAGCAGATTACAATCATACTTTACTCCTTTGATCTCAATCCCCTCAGTCCCGTTGGCCAGCACAACAGCATTGGTGTCAAACAGCGTCATGAGCGAAGGCTCCTTGGTCCACTTTACAAAGCTGGAGGGAGACACCTGAAGATACTGGGGCAGCTGGATGGTAATAGTGTCTCCTTCTAAAAACTGTCCAAGCTCTAAAAAGACAAATACAAAACCAGAGAACAAGATCAATAAACATTAATGATGGCTCCTAAAAAACCCCAAACTTTCATTGGTTCTAAAAGCAATCGAACATATACATCATGCCAAGTATGCCTCAAGGAAAGTAACAGTCCATTGAATGAAATGTCTTGGATTTATGCTCCAGTCAAAGTGTGATATATGTCTCCATGAGGTTGGAGATAAAGATATGCAAAGATCCTGGAGACAGTATTATGTCAGTGTTCATTGGCAGATTCCTTGTGTGCCCGCTGTACTTTGATCTTTAATGATCAGTAACATACAAGCATCTAAACAGAGAGTTATGGAGGAAGCCGACTTTTTTTATAATGTGTCCTTGCACCAACACTCAGGGGGGCTGTAAAGAGAATTAGAATATAATCATATTAATAAGCAGCATGAAATTAACATCATATAATGCAATATAAAAGCAAAGCCACATGCTGTAAATGTAAATCAAACTTCAACTCCTCCCTCCAATATCAGGTCTCGCTGGATATGAAAGTCTAAAATCAAAATTGAATGAAGAATATAACAGAATAAATGGGGATACCTATAGATCGGGTGCTACCTTCACAGAAAGAGGTACAGTTTACTATTTCTTTATAGGTGAGAAACAGTCCTGCAGACATCCTCTGTAGGTGATTACAGAAGAAAAGAGAGTCTGTTCATTTACTAAAAAAAGAAAGTCTCATGAAATGTAGGACAGCTGGTGATCCCAAACACAAAAGGCTTAGCTCAGGAGCCCGCCACCCTTTATGATTTATCAGCTGGTGTTAGTACAGGTCAGCTGTTTCCGATAAAATGGGTCCTGATATGGATGAACGCCCATGGGCCAGTCCATTCTCATTTAAGGGGATGTTTACAGATATAATGGTTACTGCAAAGCACCATTCTGGTTTTACAAAAATGATTACAACCAGCTTTGTCTTATTTGACAAAAATTTCCACACTGACCCTTACAGCATGGCAACATTGTCTAAATGTGAATAGTGGGAGCAGTTTCCATTTCTTACCTATTGGCATTCTTTCTAGGACGAAAAAGTATCTCAAGTGAGAAGGGTTTAACATCTGAAAGTCTGTGAAATCATAGGCTTCAATCTTCGCCTGTTTATCAGGTAAGGCTTTTGCTTGGATTTCAGCCCAGAACATGTTTGGGTAAAAATCATCCTCATCAATGGAAAACAGCTTCAGAGCCAGACTGCTGTTGGCCAGAGTCATCTTTGGGGACATGTTAGCAGCTGGTGTCAATCTCCTTCGATAACTGCAAAGAAAGAGTCCTTGTAACCAAATGGGATTTTTTGGCTAAGGTCAATTGTAGGATCAGTGTAATACTGGATACACTCTATATTTGAGGGCAACTATCTTCTACCCAGGCTGAGGGGAATAGAAATGGTGACTGGTCTTTTCCAGATCTTTGCCAAGCCATATACTACCCTCAGTGTTTGTCACATCTCATTGACACCAATGGAAGCCACTCACATAGAATGCAAGTGGGCTAAATCCTCTGTACTATATAGTAGAGAAATACTCTGTTTGCCAATGTGACAACAGTTACTCCTGCCCCACCCAGAGGGCAGACCAGGTGTAACTGGGGGGTAGGCTATGGCCACATCAGGAACATGGGGGAATGAAGAAGTGTAACATGCTCTGGTGAACCTTGCCAGCAGCGTGGCTTCTTGGGGACGTTCTTCACTGATGTAACTTAACTATCTAACTTGTGCTGGAGGCCAATTGCCCCTCTCCCAATGTCACTGGAGGGTAAAGATGGTATGAAGCTATCTGTGTGTTTCTCCCTCACCACCACATGCAAAAAAGTCCTATTCCACCATGGCTGGGGACTTGGCCATGTATATATAAAAGTGTACTAGTTAATAAGTCCTCCCACAAACACATTTCTACAGTGATCAGTAATGGTGCTCTGAACAAATGGCTGGCCACCCTAAATGATAACTGAGACTCAAAAATTGACTGCAGATAAACACTCTTTAAAAATCTCTAAACTTATACGCAGGAACTTCAAATACAGGATTGTTATGTACTAGCTGTTCTTGGCCTCACTCACTACATAAATTACTCACACCAATGACTGATAGCAATTTAAGTGAGACAAGGTGGGTGAGGTAATATCTTTTATTGGACCTTTTATTATTACCTCATCCAGCCTGTCTCTAATATCCTGGGACCCACAGGGCTACAATACTTCATGCACCAATTTAAGTAACACTCAAGTGCCCTTTAGTGTCTAAAGTGGTATTGCAATGGGATTAAAAATCAATCAGAATTCCAGGTGAAATTCTCTCCTATGCAGAGGGCCAACCCAAGGCCTAGGCACCATCTAAATCCCACGTAAGCCCCGTTTGGAGAATTTATAGGGGATTTAAGGGGCTGGTAGATTTTGTGGTGGTCTTCTATGCAGGCGTTAATTTCCCCGTGTTATCAAGAGGCAGTCCAGTTCAAGCTTTGCCAAGGTTCAGGCAAGTGGTTACAAAAATTGCTAAACTTAGTGTCCTGAATCTGCTTGTTAAGCAATCCACAGTGCAGTACTGCAGCCTCCAGCTAACAGGGTGACAGCAGGGATAGAGCTAACGGGGACTGAGGAAGAAACAAAATTTTATAAGGCCATTCCCCTCAAAAAATACGTTCCAGAGGGTTCCCCTAATTATTATGCCATTTGCCACATACATGCAATGCTTCCAGGCTTGTGTGTGGAAACCTTCCTCTTAGGGAAGCTGCTAATTCTGTTCTGACCTGTGGACCACGAGGAGAAGAACTCAAGGTGTTGGAGAGCAGAAGCTCACTAATTCTGAAATGAACCAGGTGCAAGTGGACTCACCAATTCAGTTTTCCTTCCCACTTTAAAAAAAAAAAAAGTCTTTATCTAGTGCTCAACGAGGAAAACTATATTCCTTGGGTCATTTGCAACCCAAGATTTTGGAAGTCCTGCTCAGCTACTTCAGCCATGGTCTGGAGCATGGAATTAACTATAAGTTAAGATCTGAAATAGGTTGCCAAGGGAGGTTGTGGAATCCCTATCATTTTTAATAACAGGTTAGACAAACCCTGGCCAGGGATCACAGGTGCCGACTTTACCAAGCGCCCGGTGTGTGTGTGTTTGCGCGCATGCATGCTCAACCCCTGGCTCTGTCCCAGGCTCCGCCCCCACTCTACCCCTTCCCCCAAGACCCTACCCCTGCCCTGCCTCTTCCCGCCCCTGGTCCACCTCCACCCCACCTCTTCCCGCCCACTCCCCCAAGCGTGCTGCGTCCTCCCTCCTCACCTCCTGCATTCTGCAAAACACCTGTTCACAGCAGGTGGGAGGGGCTGATCTGCAGGGCTTGCCAGCGGGCAGGAGGCACTGGGAGTTTGGGGGGAGCTAATGGGGGACTGGCACCCACCATTTCCCCCCCCCCCCATGGGTAATCCAGCCCCAGAGCACCCACAGAGTCAGCGCCTATGCCAGGGATGGTCTAGGTTTACTTGGTCCTGCCACAGTACAAGGGGCTGGATTAAATCATCTCTCAAGGTCCCTTCCAGCCCTACACTGCTGTGATTGTTTCTTAATTTTATCCAAACTGGTCCCCAGCATACCTAACAATGACATCATCACCTGTAAAAATAGATAATTTCCTGTAATAAGCACTATCTGATGCATTCTATTACACATATTATAGGCTTGTAACATCCATTAATGGTGTGGAATCTGAACTATTCTAAACATACCTGTGGAACTGGGGTCCTTGGGCAGAGTAGAATTTGTACCATTTTATCATAGACGGCTGGTGGTTCCCAGCGATAGAGACTCTGAAAGTGACTGTTCTTCCAGTCATTACTTTGATAAGACAAACCTGCTCTCCAAAGCCATCACAATCAGAGTTATTGAAAACAGTGATGCTCACAGCAGGCTCTAGAAAAGGATAAACAAAGATCTTTGTCTGTCTTTAGAATCATGGCAAGAAGCATTCACCTGCTCTTGTTTATTACGGTTATCTAAGTGAATCAGTACTGGTAGAAGATGTCAATCTCCATTTCAGCCATATTGCCTGTGTAGTTCCGCTGCTGCTCTCTGGACACAGAAAATGATACACACAGGAAGCTCCACAAAGGTCTGACCAATTTCACTTTTACAATAGCAGCATAAGCAGCTCCCTCCAGGCACAAGTAGCCCATAGGGGGCAGTTGTTCATATTTGGTTGGGCATGGACTGGTCTGTCCTTGCTGCTAAGGCTTGTCCTAGTCTATGTTTTACAGTACAGCCCTTTGCTTACCTGCAATAATACGATAATACTTAGTGCATCTTTAGTCCTTTCCATGGAAGGATCTCAATGCATCTAATAAGCTCTAGTTAATTGCTATATGACCCTTGTGAGATAAATAGGCATTATTATACCGGTATATAGAGAAGTCAACTGAGGCACATGGAGGTCATGTAACTTGCTCAAGGTGAGTCACTGGCAAAGCAGAGAAAAGAATCCCGGAGTCCAGACTCCTGATCCACACTTCTTCCTGCTGAAAGGAGGTCCCCTAAACATGCTGTCAGAATTAGCTTAAGATGGCACTTGCCTTGACAGTAATTAGTGCCATCACCCTCATATCCTGGCAGACATTGGCAATAGAAATAGGTTGTCACTTCATCCAGCTGACAAATTGCCTTTGGGTGACACTGGATTCCCCTTGTATTGCATTCCTGCCTGTATGGATCTGGAAAGAAAGACTGTTTACAACACGTAGAATCATAGAAATGCAGGGCTGGATGGGACCTCAAGAGGTCATTTAGTCCACCTTTCTCCTCCCCCAACCCACCCCTGCTCATCAATAGTATGCAAAGCGGATAGAATCAAAAAGTCCCAGAAGGCCTGATCCATTGACATTAATGGAGAAACTCCAAGTGCCTTGCATGGGCTTTGGATGAGGCCAATCAAGAATGCTTGGGAGACCCACGGATCCAAGTCTGGAAACAGAATCTCCAGCACAAATTGGTAATTTAATTTTCTTTTAAATAGAGTTAATCCAGAAAATATATTTTTTGTTTCTTTGCAAAAATTAATGTAATTTGAAACTGAACAAAATCTAGATTCCCGATGAAAAACAAATTGCATGTGTTTCATATGGATCAGCACTTCCCATGTGTGTGTGAAGTCTTCATATAAGGCTGTGTTATCAGAGGACACATTTTAACAGTCTTTCGACAAAGATTTTTGCATTCTGGAAATCTAGCAGTTCAGCAGGAGTTTTCCCACAGCTTAGTAGTAAAATGCCACCATCCAAATCTAATTTAGCATTCACGAACATCAATCATTGCTGAAATAGAACAGATTTTTAAGGAATGTTTCAAGTATACCTTTGACTCTAGGCTTCTAGATTCACCCCGGATTAGGATTTAACTCCGAGTACTACAGACCCTGAACGTTATCCAGGGTGGTAGCTCAGAATTTATGTTTAATGTCTACTGCTAATTAATAACTCACCCTGGGTTTTGCTCCGAATGTGGGTTGTTAATAATGACAGGAGGAGGATCCACTTGTCCAGCATTTTCAGTTAAATCTCTGCTTGGTCTAAATCTCACATCTCGCTGCTTCGGGTGGAATTAGAAGATCGCCAGGAGCAAGCCTCTAAGTCCGTGGGAGAGAGCATCCCTTGCTGGGGTCTGAAAAGTGCAGCTCCCAGAGCCAGCGGCTGCCCTGGAGCGCTGGCGGAGGGAGGGTCTGTTTCCGTTCAAACTGTCCCGAGGGTTCTGATTCGAAGCAGCAAGGAGCTGTGTCCTGCTGCCCATTCAAAGCCAGGCCGGGCCGACTGGAGAGCCCTGCAAAGAGCTGTCCCCATGCTGGGGTGCTGAATCGGCTCCGTCTGCAGCGGGCGGCCAGCTGACTCGGCCCTTGTGGCTTGCAAGGGCATGGGGGTGTCAAAGGAGATGCATCCGAAACGCACCGATCTACTGCCCTCCGCATGCGCTGTCCCCGGCGAGCTCCCCCGTGCCGCCCCTGTTTGCGTCTGGCTTTTTAAAAGCAAAGGGTCCCGCTCCGGAGCAGGAAGGCGCCGCTGGTTCTGGGCACCCTGCGTTCCCGGGTGCTGCTCCCGGGCGTGGGACCGGCCTCCGCCTGCGCTGGTGTTAGGGCTGGGGCGCCCCTAGCCTCGGGGGGTACAGTGTCCTGCGGGGCGGTGGCTAACCCTGCGGCTCAGCGCTGAGCGGAAAGAGGGGGAGATGGGGCGCTTGCAGTGGGAGACCCAGGGTCAGTTCCCGCCTCTCT